TATTCTAGCCCATGCAGATCTCAATAACTATTCTTATATCTTGCTACCCCCAGCTCCTGTTTCAGCTACACAGACTTCTTTCCGTCGCTCCTCTACATCATCTTCCCTCTTGCCACATGGTCTTTCTACAGAGCTGTTCTCTCAGCTTAGACTCTTCCCTTAGTATCTACTCTAGTTTTAAATCTCAGCTCAAGTCTCTTCCTCAGAGGTTTCAATCTGCTTAACTAAATTAGATTTTTCATTACAAGCTCTCATCGCCCATGTTTCTCTCCTTTCTAGCACTTATCACAGTTATAATTTTACATCTCTTTGTCTAACTGGTTGTTTTCCCCACTGCACCATAAAATACCTGAGGATAAGGGTCTTATCTGTTCTACCCAACAGTTAATACCCAGATTCAGACACATCAGCAGGTATTTGTCACATGAAGGACAATGGTTCTTTAGGGAGAGCTGGCTCCTCTCTTAAGAAGTAAAAAAAGAGTAAATACTAAATTAATAAAGAAAATATTTTTCAAGTAGTGATAATGCTGTAAAGCAAACAAAAGGTATTCTGTTGAAGAGTGATTGCGATAGGACAGAGCTTGAGGGAAGGCTGCTTTACTTGGTATAGTTAGGAAAGAAATCATTGAGAAGATGACAGGGGGACTGAGTCCTAAAGAAGGGGAAACAGCCAATTTTGTGAAAAGTACTCTAGGCAGATAAAATAGCCAGTGCAATTTACCATCACTGTTGTCAAGTGACAGCTGCTTTGAAAGAATTTGGCAGTCTGATCGACTGAAAGGCATTTTAGAGACAAAACAGGCAGGTTTTAGGGAATAAAGAGGGTCCAAGCTGCCAAAATGCTTAACATATTTTCACAGGAGATAGAGAAATGTCAACAGATACCTGGAAGAGGGAGACATATTTTCACAGGAGATAGAGGAATGTTGCAAGATAAGGGGGAGATAAAGAAGGGAGCACCATGTGGGCTCTGGACTTTGAAACTGGCGTCCTGCAAACGAGTGGCCAATCAGGAAAGCACAGGGTCATACAATGGGGAAGGGGTCCAATTAGAAGGAAGCATAGATAGACAAAAAACTTCCAGCCTTTAAAACCTTAAAAAAGGGGGCTTAGTTGGTTACCCCCTTAGGAACCCCTCCCTCTGCGGGAGTTAGTATTTGCTTCCAATAAATGTCCACCCTTTTACTAACAAGTCCTTTTAGTCTGAGAATTTTATTCTTCAAACTCTGTGAGGCAAGAACCTGCAAGGGGGGAGATCCGCTCCCCAAACCCCGTGTTTCACAACTACTTACGCTTTTTGGACTGCCTCTATCATTTAGCCATGACCTTCAAATTAGGCAACAGGGAACACATTTCCAGAGTGTTTGGCGTGAATCAGGCTCTGTAAATATCTCTTTGAAAAGACATAGAATTTAAATCACACTTATCCAGCATTTCTGCTAAAAGGAATCGTGTTGATTATTTAGGCCAAGGTTTTGTTTTAGGATTTTTCATTTAAAAGTCTCTGCCCTAATAATGGATTTGTTGTCAGAGTTTTTAATATTTTAATATTTTCAGCAAACTATTCATGTTAGTGGGATTTTTAAAAACACTCTATTTGAAAACCAGTTGGTTCTAGCCTATTTCTCATAATTACTGTGTTTAAGATTATCAACCTATTCAGAGCATGAAGAATCTATAAATACTATAGTTGTTACTTCAATGCCTGGTTACATCCACAATCGTGACTAGCATCTTTGAACAAGAACAATGACAGCAAGAAAACATCACTTTATAGATCAAAGGACTGAGAAAGGTTCATAGAGGAATAAATATTAAGGTAGGTTCATGAACAATGAGTATAAGTTTTCTTAGATAGGACATAATATTATAGAAATTGGAAATACCAGGAATGGAGTATTTTCTCCAAAAGAAGCCTATTTTCTACCCAATGTCATATCTACAAATTACACGTATTTTTGGAAAAGAAATTATTTCGTGATTTAAACCAAACCTTAGCATTCATCAGAATTGCCCAGAGGACTTATTAATTTGGGGTGAGGCCTCACGAGTTTGCACTTCTAGTAAGTTTGATGCCTCTGGTCCCAGAAAATTTTTTTTAGAACAATTGGTTTAAACAGAGTCTTTTTCACTTTTCTCTAGAGCCGTGGTCGGCAAACTGTGGCTCGCGAGCCACATGAGGCTCTTTGGCCCCTTGAGTGTGGCTCTTCCTAAGCCTTAGGAGTACCCTAATTAAGTTAATAACAATGTACCTACCAATACAGTTTAAGTTTAAAAAATTTGGCTCTCAAAAGAAATTTCAATTGTTGTACTGTTGATATTTGGCTCTGTTGACTGAGTTTGCCGACCACTGCTCTAGAGGATACTTTAATGTTATAGAGCTCTTGATCCTTAATTTTGACAATACTGTTTAATATGTAAAGTAATCATAAGTGGCAACGGAGGAACACAATACAAGGAGATATCTTGTAAAAAAAAAAAAACTGCTAATGGCTTTGGACAAAGGTTGTAAGTTAGAAGGTTTCCTTTCACCTCTGTCATCTCTAAGACTGCTCTATATTTTCTCAATTTGTAAATTATATAGATATCACTTCTCTGGAATCTAGGGTCTTAAGCTTTCTCCTTCATTTTCAAATTCCAGTCCTATTCCAGAAAACATTTCCATATTCCTAACAAACTAAGTTTGTTTTTTAAAGTCAATAAGGTAATGCTGATGTGTTGTTTCTGTTTTTCAAACAGAGAAAAGTAAGTACAGTGAAACGAATTCACTTTGAGAAAGGAAGTATTTGTTTTTTTCATGGGGGAGGGCAGGAGGTGATGGTCTTATAGCTGTACTGACAATAGCATAAGGAAATAAAATTGCAGAACAAAACAGTTCCATATTGACTAGAATTTAGTTCTGAGTTTCCCCTAGACATTGCAGGTCAAATGAAAGATATAAAGAAATTCTCTCAGGCCTCACAGACCAGACCTGGCACTATAAACCATAATCAAGGCCTACTATGCAACACACTTGTTTTCAGATAACTAGATAATTTAAGATTAATCTGGGTAATACATGCAGACTTCCAATTCTGAGGCTGAAGAAAACATGCAACAACTCTAGCATGCTTCTGGGAAATGTGAACTCCAAGGAAGGAGAGAGTAGTTTGTATGCTGAATTTGATTTACTTTCATCAGCATGTGTTGAATGTGTTATGTATTAAAATAATAGAACATTTCCACTTTACAAGGCTCCTGCCTACACAGTTTTCTATATGAAGTATTCACTTTGGGTATTTTCTGATTAATATTAAAATTAAGGAAATTTGGTAATGAAGAAGTTATTATAGGAAGTTGTATTATTGCTGTTGCAAGGACCAGACTTGCTGCAACAATGGACCAATAATTACAGGAATAAATTGTCTGTGGGCTATCTAAATTAATCAAAGTCTAAATAAGTCTCTAAGTAATTCTAGGTTATGGAATAATTTCCATTCAACAAATGCAAAGTAACAACATTGTGGCAGACACTGTACTACGCACTGGAGAGCATCAGTGAATACAATGGGCACGGCCAGGCTTTGTGGGTTACAAATTAGTAGGATATACACGCTCACCAGAAGTAAATTATACATGAAAGATGCTAACTGGAAGCATAATCATAAATGGTTAGAAGGTGGAGATGGGGTGGCACCATGGGGTGTGTGGTCACTGGAAGATACATGGTCAATGGCTTTTTTGCTATTCAACTACTTCCACACAAGAACAGTACTTGGTCCTGTTTATTAACAAAGTACTTATTAAAAGTCTTATTAAAAATGATCTGTGGTCAACTTTAATGCTATAGAGGAAGAAGAGGAAAAAAAAGCCTTAGAACTCTGGAAAATTCCTATAGCAGAATGGGGAAATTAAATACATTAAGAAATGAAGAAAACTGGGACAAGGCTGTAGCAGTTCAGTTTAGCTATTTTCCCCATTCAACCATTTCTACTCATTGTGCTTATGGCAAGATATTTTCATGTGCTAAAATTTCTGCTTGGAATAGCAGAAAGCTAATCCTATAAAATTGTTATATGACCCCATCAGTTAGGAGTGCCCTGGGACCAGGCCAAGGGACAAAGAATCCATGATCACCAGCTCTAATCCACAAGATTTTGCAGTTAGCAGCAACTCTGTCTTGTTTGCAAGTTATTCTGTGATTTCAGCTTTGATGTAGCTTGCATGTGCTTTTATGAATATACTAATTAAACACTTGCAAATAACCAACTCTGGTGGGAAACAGTAACCTGGGCATCAAGGATGTGGTTACCAATTCTAATTTACCTGACATAACCTATTAAGTGCAGCTAGCCTACCATCACTGCTAACACATCTGAAAATCAAAACCAAATACTATTCAAGTAATGCAACCCTACTAGTGGAATGGAGAGGCGCACACACAGGAAGACTAGTGAACAGGAGAGCCAGAATACTGGCCCCCAAGTCACAGTACTTACGGGAAGACATGCTGCTTTTTATGCATACTACCACTCACTCTTAAAAGGATGAACAGCCTGTTTACCGAATAGGTCGGGGTGGGCAACCTTTTTGTGAGTGCGTGCCAAAACCAGCAAAATCTCTGACTCAAAATTCTTCTGCGTGCCAACCCTAATTTTTTGAGACCATGTTACGCCTACTTGATATCTCTTAAGGTGTACGTATGTGAAGAACCTTGAAGAAATAATAAAATTCATTCGAGCAACAAAAACACAGTATATGATGACGAAAAATACATTTATTTTTTAATGTATACATGTACACTGATAGTCAGACAGAAAACTTTATGACTCTGTTTGATATTATCAATGGGACTTTTGCTGCTGCATCACTGATGACAGATATTTTACATCAGGTTTATATTTCGTGACCTTCAGAGATATGCACGAGCTACTACTTTCATCCGTCAGGCTACTCCTATTACGAGACTTAACAAAACTCATCAATGAGAACAAAGATTCACAAGCGTGTGTGGATGAAACCAAAACACTGGTCGGATCTAGGAAGGCAGGGAGAGTTAAGGCAGAGGCATAGAAATGGCTCTTCCCCTCTCTCGTCAATCCATGTCTATGGTCTTTAAGATAACTTGTTATGTAAAATAACTTATCTAAGATACACCAACACTGAATTTATCTGAAAAATAAAGAAGTCGATATTAAGAAAAAAATTGTAAATGGAAGATTATAAGAGAGGGTTTCGCGTGCCAGCTAAAGTTACTGGCGTGCCATGTTTGGCACACGTGCCAGGGGTTGCCCACCCGTGGACTAGGTTCATTGGCGCAGCATTTTCCCAGCTCTCCTGACCCCATGTCTCCATTCCTCTTCTCACCTTTCTATCCCTCTTCTTCAAAAATATTTCCTTCCGGTCATGGTCTATGGGATGTTTAAGCAAGCCAAGAGAAACTCACTCAGTACACACCACCTTCATGGATCATAAGTACTCAATTAATTGAATGCAGAACACACATTAGCCGGGAGACCAAAAGGGCCAAGTCCCAAGTCAGAACCTGGGCTCGGTAGCTATTCAGAAAGGCTGTGAAGAAGCTGAGGCCATGCAGGAAGATGTGCAGCCCCCACTGACAACCGGCGGCGGTGGGGACACTTGCTCAAGATAAAATTTTGAGAAAAATCCTTGGCTGTCCTCCCATATAATAACAGGGTAATATGCAAACTGACCCTAATGGCAGAGCAACCAGGAACAACCGGTCGCTATGATGCACACAGACCACCAGGGGCAGATGCTCAAAGCAGGAGCTGCCCCCTGGTGGTCAGTGCGCTCCCACAGGGGGAGTGCCGCTCAGCCACAAGCCCGGCTGATGGCTGACCACTGCAGCAGCAGTGGCAGGAGCTTCTCCCGCCTCCACGGCAGCACTAAAGATGTCCAACTGCAGCTTAGGCCCGCTCCCCATCAGCTGGACATCCCCTGAGGGCTCCTGGACTACTACAGGGCGCCGGCCAGGATAAGGGGACCCCCCTCCCCCCCGCCCCCGAGTGCACAAATGTCATGCACCGGGCCTCTAATCCTATCCTATATAATAAAAGGCTAATATGCAAATCAACCAAACGGCAGAAGGACAGGTCACTATGATGCACACTGACCACCAGGGGGCAAGACGCTCAACGCAGGCGCTTCCCCCTGGTGGTCAGTGAGCTCCCACCGGGGGAGCACCGCTCAGCCAGAAGCCGGGCTCATGGCTGGCGAGCGCAGTGGCAGCAGCGCTAAGGATGTTCAACTGCGGGCTCAGCGGGAGCGGGCCTAAGATGTCGGTTGGACATCCCCCGAGGGCTCCTGGACTGTGGGAGGGCACAGGCTGGGCTGAGGGGTACCCCCCCCCCCAACCCCCAGGTGCACGAATGTTGTGCACCGGGCCTCTAGTATTTAGATAAACTGGCGAGCACTTTCCACAAAAGCCCTGTCAACCTGAGAAACATTCCAACATATTAAAGAACTTTTGTGAGTTTCTTTGAGCCAAACTGTGGACAACTGCCAGGAAGCAAAATCTCAAGGGATTGGGATAATGCTCCAAACAATGTCGCCCCTGATTTCACACATTAGCATCAAAAGAGATGACCCAAGCGGATTACATCAAACCCACCCGCGGGAGAAAGCAAAGCAGGAAAACCTCTGGGATTGCGTAAAAAGCAAAATGATAGAAGCATGCACCTTCTACATAGGTGGGTACAGGATAGCTCACAGTCAACAATCAACGAGATAAAATAATGAAAGGATCGATGGTTGTGCCTGACGGGGTGTGGGAAAGGGGAGTCACTCAGACGTTCCTAAGGAATGTTATTGCAGATGCAAAAGACAGTGCGACAGGCTCAGCGAAGGTAAAGGCTGACCTTCGTCGGGGGAGATTCTAGCCTAGGACCTAACTACCCACAGTAAACTGCTTCCAGTTAAAAAGTTTTCACTTCACCATCCTCGGCGGTTCCTTTAGGTTTGCAAGGTCGCCGGCACGCCTTCCCAGGGCCTGTCAGGTTCAGTATGTGGCTCCCTTTCATCTACAGCCTCCATAGAGCCCACCCGCCGACACCCAGAGGCCCCGTTCCACACCTGGGCGACGCTAAGACGCCCTGCCCGCCGCGTCAGGGCGGCATCTTCCGTCCCCGCTCCGCCGCCATCGCCTGCCACCGCCTGCCACCGCCAGCCACCCGCGGACCCCCTCGCCAGGGGCTCCAAACTTCCGGCACCGGCGAGGCTGGTCCTGATCTCGCGAGATCTGTCCTGAGACCGCTGGCAGCCCCCGACCCCGAGCAAGGCCTCGCGTTGTTTGGGGTCTGGGGGGGCGGGGCGATCCCGGAGGAGGCGGGGCCGGGATGGGGCGTCCCCAGGCCTTGTTGACATCGGCGTCCTCACCAAGTGGCCCTCGGCGGCGCATGCCCAGGTCTCGGCCGACTCGGAGTCCTGGACGGTCTGGCTTCCTCCGCGGCAGGTCCGGGCGCCGCCCCTCCGCGCGGCGGCGTTGGCGGCCGTGCTTTGACGGCGGCGGCGGCGGCGGTCGGCTGCCGCGGAGCTCGCGGAGTCCTGGTACCTGACCCTACGCGCCGCTGCGGCGGGCCGGACCGACCGCCTCGCCGCAGGTAACGCCGCCTCCCGTGGGCTCGGCCGCGCGGGTGGCCGTGTCCCGTGCTCCGGTGCCGTGCGCGGTGGCGGCGGACCCGGGTCGGGGGACGTGGGGAGTGCGGCGGCCGGGAGTTGCGGGGAGAGTGTCGGGGGAGATCGGGGTTCCCAAGGGGCTGGGAAGTGGGGGCCCGGCGGCTGTGGGGTCGGGGGCTGTGGGGTCCGACCGGCTGCGGGACACTGAGCCCGCGACGCTGCGGTCCCCCCAACACCCGCGGGGCCTTTTCCGATCCACCCCGTGACCTGCTGTTGTTTTGATTTTGAAGGAGAGGATCCGGCCGCCGTCGGCGGGGGAAGCCTGGGGGTGGGGGCTGGACGGGCTTGGAGAGCTGGGGCCGGCACTAACGTTCTCTTACTTTCTGTTGTTTTTTTCTGTTTGTTCGTTTGAGCGTTTCCGACTGTTTTAAGTCTGGTGCCCGTCCTTCGGGCGTTTCAAACCCGGCGTAGAGAGAATCCGTGAGGCGAAGAACCAGAGGGAGTAATTTTGCAAATTCAAGATATTTTTAACTTGCAGTAGTATGTTTTGAAAATCGAGACATCATGCCCATTTTTAAATGACAGATTAGAATAATTTGGGTACAGAGAGGAAAGCATGGCTTGACCAATAGTTATTCCCCCCCCCCGAATTATTATTCGCATTTTTAAAGTTAGTTATTTCCCCCCAGTTATTATTAGTATTTCTTTTTAAGTTACAGAAGTACTACGTGCTTTTTAAGGGAAAAAACAAGTCAAGCAGCCAAACAATGAAGACATCGCTTCCCTCTCTCCCTGACTTTATCCCCCTCTTACCCGGAGTAACCAGTCTTCAAGTGCATTGTTTAGCCATTCAGGATTTTTCTGTGCATATCATAAATATGTTTTAAAAATAAAATTGAGAACATATATAGTACGTGGTTTTTATTAGCCAATAATGCTCGCAGATATGCCTCCATTTCACTACATCATTTTTTTAAAAGTTGTATAGCTGTGTGTGTGTTTTTTAATGGGTGAGCATTGTCTCCAATTTTTTCCCCCTAATCTTTTAAGTTTTTATTTTAAAGAAGAAACTGTAAACCAATATTTTGAGGCGTAGTTTGGCAAAACTTTCAGAATGTCTAGGGCCAGATGGAGGATATTTGCATATTAGGCAAGTTGAGTGGTAGGTTTCCACAGAGCTTAATGGTAGTTTACATGAGGCTTGGATGACTTCCTCAAGCAGGTTAGTGAAGTAGTTGACTTTGTTGTTGTTTTTTAAGTATTTTTCAAAGTAAATTTACGTTTCTCCTAGTCAGTTGAAAACAAATGTAATTCCTTAACCATGAACCGGATCAGGTGTGAAGAAGAGGTAAAGGGGAAGGCCAGTGGCTCAGAAGTCTGTATTTCAGGCAGGTTAAACCGAAACAGAAAACTCAGAAATCAGCCAGGGGTTACATATTTTGATAGTAGGGAGTAAGCCGCAGGGGAGGATGATAACTACACTGCTTACTATTAAATAGGCAGAAAGCTAGGAACTCCCTATTACATTTTGTATTTCTACGTGCAAAAGAGCTGGAGACTTTCCTGACGTAATCACGGAGTTGTGTGTTTATTAAAAATGTACTGTGTTCATCTTGGTGCTAGCTTTCAGAGGGAACATAGAACTGAGGAAGATGATCACAAAGAACAGTCTGGTTCTAGCCTGAACTCTTAGGCTCATTTGGGTAGCATTTGATTATTTGGGGAACTGTTTTTAAAAGGAACCAAAAATATCCATGACATTTTAGATACTGTTGCTGGTAATACGTTCTTCCTTTATATATATTTTCCACAAAAACAGGTGGTATTCTCCACATTAGATAAATAAACAGGCTCAGAGATTAAACTGCTCAGGGTTCCATGCCGTTGCCTTTTCAGTAGTGGTAGCTGCATCGAAGAACCTATATTTTCCCTTCTGCCAGCTGCTTCCCATGAATGAAGAGTACCTTACAAAGTTTCCTTCTCCTTTATTTGGTCATAAATGTTTTTTACAAAAAAGACACATGAATATAATAATACTCATTGAAAAAATAATCCAAAGGATAGTGTGAAATTAAAATTATCTTTTTAGATGAGGTTTCTGGTGGTGTATTTTTTAAATATTAAATTCCTTGAGCTGATGTCATTAACCAAGATGAAGGCAGATTGTGTTACTTTAGTCACTGCTTGATGCCCTGGCAAATTTGGATATGATGGTAAATTGTACCTTGTACAGGTGCTTTTGTTACCTTACTAACTGGGCGGGTAATCTCATTGCATTTAGCATTATTTTTATGGGCCCAATTGCACTCTTGGTAAAGTGTGAACTACTCCGATGAAAACAAAACAAAAAGGGCCCTACAAATATTAAAATACTTATTTTATTTACTTATTTTATTTTTGGTATTTTATTTTTTTAAATATTTTATTGATTTTTTTTTTACAGAGAGGAAGGGAGAGGGGTAGAGAGAAACATTGATGAGAAACATCGATCAGCTGCCTCCTGCACACTCACTCCCCAACTGGGGATGTGCCCGCAACCCAGGTACATGCCCTTGACCGGAATCGAACCTGGGACCCTTGAGTCCTCAGGCTGGTGCTCTATCCACTGAGCCAAATCGGTTAGGGCTATTTTTGGTATTTTAATGTCTCTTAAAAATGCATCATGACAAACATCAGAGTATGTGTCATAGTATTATGGTATATTGTTCCAGTTTTCCAGCTGGTGTGACAACTGTGTAGTTTAAAGATGGCAAATACCGCAGTTCAATAAAATATGATCGGTGTAACATGTACTTGAGAAAAAAATGCACATACAGGAAAATATTTGAGCGTTTATTCTTGGCAATTATTAAGGATGGTAATTGGATTCACATCTAAATGGCATATCTGCCATGCTTTGTCTCCTGGAAAGCTTACCACTGGATCTGAGTGGGTTTTATATTTGTGGGACACAAAAATGTTTCAGACACCAGAGAGCTGTCTTTAGAATATTTTAAGATTTATTGACTCGGCTATTGGAGGGCGAGGAAACCAATGCTGTGTAAGTATATTTTCAGAAATTAATAAGAGATTTTAAGGATGATGGGAAGAAATAAAAAGTTTATTTTCCACTTTAGCCTCAAAATCCTTTTGGGGACATATAATCATGAGTAGCCAAAGAAGCATCAGGTCTGATCTAGAGTTTAAAATCCAAGTGCTGTTTAAACAGCTATTGTGATAGTTCACAAAGGACTTGTTTCTTGAATAGTTCTCTTTTTAGGGAGAAATTGGTTAAGGTGAAAGAGAAGCTGAAATACAGGGGAGAAAAATCAGAATTGGCTGTCAAAATACACAAAAGAGAGGATGGTTCTTCAAAGAGTGGGTCATCAGTAAGAGTCAAATGTGTGCCTGAATGCCAAGGAATATGAGAATTTAACATTATAGATCTTTGAACTTTGACATACTGAAAAATAAGCTAATTGTTGCTGTGTTAGCTGAGTCCTGTTGGGGGTTAATAATTCAGTAACAATACTCTTACAAGCTCTGCTCTCACAGTTTCTTCTGTGCTTATGTGGATAGGAAAGAATAAAACTGTGCCTATACTGCAGTGTCATTTTATTCCTTTTAGCAATATCAGGAAGCTCCAACAGTATGGTCCGCTAAAGATTCATGTGGCTCAGCCGGTATGGCTCAGTGGTTGAGCCTTGACCCATGAACCAAGAAGTTACTGGTTCGATCGCTGGTCAGGGCGCATGCCCAGGTTGTGGGCTCAGTAGGGGTTATATACAAAGTAGCCAGTCCATGACCTTTATCTCTCATCCATGTTTCTATCTCTATCCCACTCCCTCCCTCTCTAAAATCAATAAAAACATTTAAAAAGAAAATCCATGTGAAATTTTGGACTTATTTGAATCTATCAAAGTTAATAGTTACCATGCAGAGGCTACAATTATATATTTCTATTATATCTATTTTTGCATCCTATGTTCTATTATAGTTTAGCCACTTAATCCTTGCTTTATTAAATAAAAATATAATCCTCGCTGTTAGGAATTGGGAATGTTGCATATCTTGGTGATGTGATGGAGGAGACATTTTGGTGTGTGTTTTTTTGTTTTTTTGTTTTTTGGAATGCTAACTGCGTGATTATAATGGAAGATGCTAGAATCCTAGTTGGTAGTTGAAATTGGAAGAGTAGTTGGATGGCCCTGTGGTTGGTAGTATCTCATGTGACCTGTTGTCTGCTCTGGGCAAGGGTCAGACCTGCATGTGTTTAGAAGTTCTGTGCTTAGAAAGGATACTGGCTATCTGGGAACTGGTCCCTGGGACTGTGGCCCATATTAGTATATTTAACATAGGAAATCTGTTCAGGGGATGAACTAAGATCCTTATGTATCTAGACTGAAATGTTATGACCTATGATGTAATATATTTTCTGTGGTTAATTTTTGTAATATTGTATGTTCAAAGATATTATTAAAACTATGAAATAGCTCTGGCTGATGTGGCTCAGTTGGGTGGAGCATCCTCCCATACACCAGAAGGTGGTGGGTTTGATTCCTCCACAGGGCGAATCTCTCCCCCCAACCCCCTTCCTCTCTCTGCCTCTCTTCCACCCCTTCCCTTCCTCTCTCTAAAATCAATAAAAAATAATTTAAAAACAACAACAAATAAAGCTAAGCAATTTCTTCCTTCAGCAAACCTCCCCCATCCATATCTATCCCTCATAGGTTGCTTGGGTAATGGTTTTTTAACTGTGGTGTGAATCCTTTCATACTTTTATACATGAACAAAAATAATAGATGTTAAGGATGTTAAATGTCAGAATTCCATGGAATAAGGAAAAGGTGATGATGTGATACAGGGGTAGATAGGAATGCTCTCTGATTCCTTCAGACTAGGTGCTATGAATAAGAGTATTATTTCAAGTGTAACAGCTACTTAGGTTCTGTACCTCGTCTATCAGGTTACTCCTAGCAAAGTCATTCCAGGTTTACCAAGTTGTGCTTTTTTAAGTAGTATATGATATCTTCCCTTAGTCATTTTTCAGTCAGTTGTTCTATATGTGGGATTTGAGTGTTTTTTGATAGGCATCAAAAAATCGTTTTTAGATATTTGATAGATATGTCATTTCTTTTTATGCTGGGACCATATATGTTGCCTAGACCCACATAGTTTAGATGTTTTTTACACTAGTTTATTTGCACTGACTCATTTCTGAGCACCTTTAATTCACTTTTGGTTGCTTATACAGACTTACTAATATTCTTTCTACAAATGATCCTTCTAAGAATAGCCAATGAATAAAGTAAAATTATATTTCTATTGATATAAATCCTATTGACTTCTGACCAAAATTTTACCTGGGTTGCAGGTTTAATCCCTAGCCTCAGTCAGATGAATGTGGGAGGCAACCAGTCAATGTATCTCTCTTAAATTAATGTTTCTCTCTTTCCCTCCTCCTTCCCTTCCACTCTCTAAAAACCAATGGGAAAAATATCCTCCGGTGAGGATTAGCAACAATAAAAAAATAATGTACTCTTAGTAAATGTAATTTTACTTACACAGTTTGACTATAATTTGAAGAGCAATCTAGTTAACATGAAGTAATTCCTTATGTTATTAAAGACCTTTAGTTCTATGAATTCATTTTAACCAAATTCAAAGTAATTTTTAGACATTTGTCTGAAAATACACTAACCATTTAAGAGGCTAATTTCCTTGAACAAAGACTATTTATGTGAACTGAAGCTGTCCATTGAAATTCTCTCCTCAATGTGCCTGTGTCCTGATCCTTGCCAGGCCTATCATGCAGAAGTTAAGTGCGGCCTGGAGGGTGGTGCTAAGCTATAATTTAAAA